AAGTGATAATAGTTGCTCCCATTTCACACCCACCTCTCCAGCTTTACATTGGCCTCCACCATCAACACTTAGTTCTAAGGCCCACACTGGTACCCAAGTCATCTCTAAGGGAGCCAACAGGGAAAAAAAAAAACTTATTTATGCTTATTTGTAGCACCTGCGTTGCCCCAAGCTTATTAGGTGGCGAGAGGCAGATAACAAAGCAGAAAGAGCAAGGGCTTTGCAGTCAGACAAGTCTAGGCTTGAATTCTAGCTCTACCGCTCTCCAGCTGAGTGAGATTGGGTGAGTTATTTAACCTCTCCAGGTCTCAGTTTCTTTTTGTGTACAATGGGAATAATAACAGCATTACTTCATAGAGGTGTTGTGAAGATGAAATAATACCTAATAAGTACCTTACTTAAAATCTGCCACTTGTCCAGAGCTCCAAATATATGGTGCCTTTGTTATATATGTGGCTCAATACAGATAACAATACAGTAAGGCATTTCTGACAGACATCCTTGGGAGGGGCCGCCTTGTTATTTTTTTAACTTTTCTTAAATGTTGAAATAATCACTCTAGTTAATATTTTCTAATTGCATTAGAGAGAGAGCTGTGTCCAGGTTACATGTTAAGAGTCTTCTTTATTGTATTAAAGTCTTCCTTATTGCACTTCTGGTCTGTGTGACCAAAAATTCAAGGATCGAAGATGAAGGATGTCATTTAATCATAATTTTGTGGCTGTGTGACACCATTATCTTTTACTATGCCGCACTCCTAATTGACATGCTATTATAATTAGGGATTTTATGAGATTTGAAAGGAACACATCAGCAGTATGGAAGTAGTATTTACTGAAAGAAAAAAATGAACAAATGAAAAAGAAGAGTAGGTAAAATGATCACACCACTAAGAGCCTGGGGTCGGGAGGGAGCTGGAAAACAGGAACCCTTGCATGGACTATGTCCCAAAGAGAATATTAAGGAACTCTGAAATATTTGCCAAGAGCCCAGAATGCAAATTTCATTCATAAATGTATGGCCAGCCTAATGGGCATCAGCTTCAAGGTGCTATTTAGAAACAGGTGTGTAGTGTGGAATGGCTGAGGCAGAACACCGAGGATATAAGAGCATATAACTCAGGATCCCTTTGTTTAGGTGGGTGGGGCCCTCTGTGCTGTCTTCTGTGAGGGGTTGCAAGCAAACTGTGCGGTTGAAAAGGGTTCCAAGAAGACCAATTAAAATGACTGAATGCCTGAGAAATCTATCCCTGTTTACATAACCTGGGCAAGGCCAAGCAAGGTCTTGAGAATGTGAAGGGAATGTTGTGGTGATGCTATGCATCTGTCTTGTGTGTTACTGAAGACGATATATAAGAGAATGGACTTTATGTCGTAACATGAGAGAGATTAAGGCAGCGAAAGAAACTATGGCAAAAGTTGAGATGCTGAAACATTTATTAAATGGAACTTATATGTATTTCTCGATATGCATGGAGAAAACTAAACAGTTGACTTAGGTTCATGCCTTTTTAGTTTCCAGTGAGTTGGGCAAGATGTCTTTCCTTCTTTCTAAATCCTTTCTTTTTGATTAAGAGCTCTAAAACCACATTTGGCCTACATTTATCCCAGTGAACACTATTACCAAAAATGGCAAACTTTCCAGGTAGGAATATATTTTAAAGTTGAGGTAAACGTCACATAATATTAAATTCACTACTTTAACCATATTAAAGTGTACATTTAATTTACTTTTAGTATAGTCACAGTGTTGCGCAACTACTGACACTATCTAGTTCCAGAATATTTTCATCATCCCCAAAAGGAGACCCCGTACCCCCTATACCCAGTAAGCAGTCACTACTCATTCTTCCATTCTTCCCTCCACTCCCTAAAAACTACTAGCATGCTTTCTGTCTCTATGGGTTTGCCTTAGGAATATATTTCTTTTGAAATCTTCTGGATTCTGCATTTAATTTTCCAACTAGAAACTGTAGACTACTGAGTGTATCTCTGAGTTTGTGTATGTGTGTGTATGAGAGAAAGAGACAGAGACAGAGATAGAGACAGACAGAAATCAGAGTCAGCATTCAGGAGAAATCTACTTGATCTGCATAGTCAAATCTATTTGAAATATTCAAACAAAATAAAAACTGGGGAGGATACTTATTTTTCAATTAGATGTCTGTAATTTAAATTGGGTATCTGAACTTAAATTTCTCAAGAGTTCTATCATAGGTTATAGAAGTGTCAAACAGTTCTTGAAATATGTCTGTAACATCGAGAAAGGCTTTTGAATGGCAACATGGCTTTATAGCTCCTATGTTAGGCCAAAAAGTTTCACACCCAACAGAAGCTCTGTCCTGGATCGGACCTCTTCCTGTAACAGTTAATGATAACCTCATTACTTTTATTTAGAGCAGTGTAGTGGTGAGCATTTTTTATTCTGTTTGCCATTTGTCCTGGTGAGCACATCAGCTAAAGCAGAGGAATCTTAGGATGCCTGACCGGTAAGTGAAAAAGAAACTTAAAAATAAAATAATAAAACCTCTTTTATTTGCCAAGCATAAATACTCATCAATTTTAAATTAGAATATACATTTTATTCTGGCCGGGACTTAAAAAAAATTTAGATAACTTATTCATAAACTTAAAAAATTTGAAGATGAACTGGAAAATGGTTTTTAGGGCATCTACATTTAAAACTTGCATGGCTTTCTTAAATATGATTACATTGACAGGGAAGTTGTATTTTTTACTTGTGGAAAAAATACATAAGACTGTGAAAGAAATCTTAATTTTCAGTCAAAATTATTCCTGGAAGGAGGAATAGCCAGTTGGGTCTTGTAATTTAAGTGGTGCATTGTAATTGTGAATGTCAAGGCCGGGAGATTAGTGTCATTTTGCATTTTCACGTATTTTGATTTTTATTCCATTTTCATTTTCAATTCCTTTCTATTTCATGAGTCCCAACGAATAAATCTTGACTGTTCCCATTAATAAGGATTTAGGAATCCCCTGCTAAAGCTCAAACACCTCACTGATTTTGATGTTACAGATCTTGTTTTCTTTCCAAAGTATTTTTTCTACATGCTTCACTGTAGTCTACTATCTGTTCATTTTACCATTCTCTCAGTTTGGGCTTCTGGGGACTCCTTGATGATAGTGGAAAACAGCCTCTCTGCAATACATTTTCAGGTATACATTGACTTAGCTACTATTCCCACAAACACTTCTCAGGCAGTGTGAACCAGAAGTAAAAATTTTTTAAACCACTGAACCTCCTTTAAGGCACCTGGAAGTTGGGGACAGCACAACAGTCCTCTTGTGGCATATAAAACTTAATGTAAAGCACTTGGAGGTCCTTGTTTCTGAGAGACACTGTGGCAGAAGTTCAAATATCATTATGCTTTGTGCTCTGCTTGAGGACCATCTCCAGTAAGAGAGCCCCACAATGTGGAGGGGTTTAATTCCTCAGTTCCCTCCTTGTGCGGCTCCCTCATATAAATGTGCCTTGGTTCACTTCTCAAGGACACGTGAATACATGGCCCTATTCTCCAACTTCATATGACAAACCAAAACCTCTCTAGGAATGCAGAGAAAAGACTTCAAGTGTTGTGGAAAGGGAAAAAGACTTGAAAAGGAAAAAAAAAAAAAAAAAAAAAAAACCCAGTTAACAGCAGTAGCTAAACTGTAAATTCCCTATCTCTGCCCTCCAGACCACATCCCAACCGAATCCAGCTGCACCCCGCCCGTTGACCTGTGGGGCTCCTGATTGAGAGTTCAGATACAGGGCGTATATTTCATGCCTGTCTCCCTTCACTGCTATGTATCAGTCTGGCCTGTGCTCAGGGTGTGGAATCTGGTTGGAGTTTCAATGTGTAGGATCCACTCCCGGGGTTTTTGCGAGATTGAGAAGGGTAAGGCAATAGGGGCTAGCCCCGGGGGTTTGGCACACTGCAGGGGATGGGGGGTGGGTGGAAAAGTCAAGAAGGCTTAAGTCTAGTGTTGTTTAAAGTCATTCACCTGCCCCTTGAGGAGGCCCCTGAATGACTTTATCTGGACAGGGACAGATCCAGGGACGCCACTGGGATAACCGGTATTCCTGGTAACTGCCTGTCAGATACTGGGGCAGTTGGAGGAGAGGTGGGGAAAGGACGCTCAGGTGGGGGCGGAGGCGGGGGCGAGAGGGTGCTGAAGGAGAAGGAAGGACGGTGAAGGGAAATGCTTGGGCTGCCTCTTTCTTGGTGCATCTCCAGGAAGAGTTTGGAGACCCGAATTCCGGGCTGGGGTGGGTTTCCTAACTCGGTGCTGGGCTTGACCTTTCCAAGCCAACGCGTTACTTCTCTGAAGAGGGCTGGACTCTGATCTTTGCGCCCCTTCCTGCCCTTTGATTCTGGTTCTTTAAGGGAAGCCCCACCATGCAGACCTGAAGAAAAGATATTCTCTGCCGCAGGCGGGCCGGAATGGGAAGGCCAGGAATGCAGCCTCTGTGGCATGGGTTTTATTTATTTATTTAGATATTTATATTAAAAATGATTTTTGTTAAAAAAAGAAAAAAGAAAAAAAGGATCCCTCACCCCCAAACCCGGGCTGGAGCTTTGCACGGTGACCGTCGGGAGGCCACCTTCTCCGGAGAACCGGCAGGTGGGCAGTGAGAAGCGCTTTCCTCCAGCGAGTGCCGCGGGGCTTGGCGCGGCGCTCCCCGCGGTTCCCTCCGGGTGCAGGCTCCGCCTCCCCTTCCCAGCCCCCCGGGCCTTCCCGATCCCCGTCTCGCGGCCTCCTGGGAAAACTCGGCGAGTGGACTTGGCCGGGCGGAGGTCCCCGCAGGCCGCGCAGGTTGTTCGCAGCCAGTGAGATG